GGAGGAGGAGGAGGAGGAGGAGGAGGAGGAGCGGCGCCGTTTGCGCCGGGTGGCCCCGCGGCCCTCCCGGCCCTCGCCGGGCGCGGTCGGGAGCCCCCCGGGCGTGGTCGGGGGCCCCCCGGGGGTCAGGGGCACCCCGGGGGCGTCGGGGGCGGCCGAGGGGGGCGGTGGCCCCGCGGGGGGGGCGGGGGTGGCCGTCGTGGTGGTCACGGTGGTCACGGCGGCGCTCGGGGACCTGCGGGGACACACAGGGGACAGCGGTGGGTGACGGCCCTGGGGGGGGATGACGAGGAGAGGGGGACCCTTGGGGCACGGGGGACAGGGTTGGGGGACACCCCAGGGATGTGGGACCCTCATGGGGGGACCCCTGGGGACACAGGACAGGGGTGGGGGACACCCTGGGGATGTGGGACAGGGTGGGGGACACCCTGGGGATGTGGGACCCTGATGGGGGGACCCTTGGAAACATCAGACAGGGGTGGGTGACACTATTGGGGATGTGGGACAGGGTGGGTGACACCCCAGGGATGTGGGACCCCGATGGGGGGACCCCTGCGGACATGAGATGTAAGTGGGTGACACCCCTGGGGACAAGACTAGGGGACCCCTGGGGACGTAGGACAGGGTGGGTGACACCCCAGGGATGTGAGACCCTGATGGGGGGACCCCTGGGGATGTGGGACAGGGTGGGTGACACCCTGGGGACATGAGCAGGGGACCCTTGGGGACGTGAGACATAAGTAGGTGACACCCCAGGGATGTGGGACCCTGACTGGGGGAACCCTTGGGGACACGGGACAGGGTGGGGGACACCCCAGGGATGTGGGACCTTCATGGGGGGACCCCTGGGGACGTGGGACAGGGGTGGGTGACACCCCGGGGACATGAGTAGGGGACCCCTGGGGACAGGGGATAGGGGTGGGGGACACCCTGGGGACACGAGGACAGGGGTGGGTGACACCCTTGGGGACCTGGGACATAAGTAGGTGACACCCCAGGGATGTGGGACCCCAATGAGGGGACCCTTGGGGACAGGGGACAGGGTGGGTGACACCCTTGGGGACATGAGTAGGGGACCCCTGGGATCATGAGACCCTCATGAGGGGACCCTTGGGGACACGGGACAAGGGTGGGTGACACCCCAGGGATGTGGGACCCTGATGGGGGACACCCTGGGGACAGGGGTGGGGGACACCCCGGGGACGTGGGACCCTGATGGGGGGACCCTTGGAAACATCAGACAAGGGTGGGTGACACCCCTGGGGACACGAGTAACAGACCCTTGGGGATGTGGGACAGGGTGGGTGACACCCCAGGGATGTGGGGCAGGGTGGGGGACACCCCTGGGGATGGGGGACACAGGTGGGGGACACCCCGGGGATGTGGGGCAGGGTGGGTGACACCCCAGGGATGTGGGATCATGATGGAGGAACCCTTGGGGATGTGGGATGTAAGTAGATGACACCCTGGGAGACAAGGGACAAGGATGGGAGACACCCTTGGGGACGTGGGACAGGGTGGGTGACACCCTGGGGACATGAGCAGGGGACCCTTGGGGACATGGGACCCTCATGAGGGGACCCCTGGGGACATGGGACTGGGGTTGGTGACACCCCAGGGACGTGGGACCCTGATGGGGGAACCCTTGGGGATGTGGGGCAGGGTGGGTGACACCCCAGGGATGTGGGACAGGGTGGGGGACACCCCGGGGATGTGGGACAGGGTGGGGGACACCCCTGGGGACGTGGGACCCCGATGGGGGGACCCCTGGGGATGTGGGGCAGGGTGGGTGACACCCCGGGGATGTGGGGCAGGGTGGGTGACACCCCGGGGATGTAGGACATAAGTAGGTGACACCCCGGGGACGTGGGACCCCGATGGAGGGACCCCTGGGGCCGTGGGGTGGGCGTGGCCCTGGGGCCACGATGACCTCACTGAAGGGACCCTTGGGGGCAGCAGGAGGGCGTGGTGGAGGGCGTGGCCATGGCCCAGGAGGGGCGGGGCCTCCCCGGTAAGATCAGTGCAAGGGGCGGAGCCTCGTGGTGGGCGGGGCCTCTGCTGATGTGGGCGGGGCCCGGTGGGACAGGGTGTGGCCTCATTCCCTGTGGGTGGAGTTTTGTTGAATGACGGGGCGTGGCCTGAGCCAATGTGGGCGTGGCCAAGCGCGACGGGGGGCGTGCCCTACCCTGTGGGCGTGGCCAAGCGCGACGGGGGGCGTGCCCTACCCTGTGGGCGTGGCCA